ATGAAAACTTCCACGAGTTCCTTACATTTAATTGATTTATTTGAGGGTGTTAGTAACCAAGCTGATATTAACAGTCATATGGGCGATCTACTTTAATGTCTTATAGACGACACAGAGTCGAGGAAGGAAAATGATAATAAAATACAGAGAAAGTCCCATATTTTAAGAAAAAGGTCAATGGCGTTTTTGTCATCACACTGAAAGATTAAAAAACCTAAATGATCATGATGACAAGAATAAAATTGCGAACGTTTTAATTTTTTCGACAAAATGAACAAAAATTCAAGTAAATGTAGAACATAATCTCACAAGCTCACTCGTGATGGAGCACTCAAGTCTCATTTACGAAATGTCAGAGTAATAACAAAGACGTCTGATTATTTTAACTTGCTTACTGTTTAACTTGGGCTACGGTTGTTTGTCAACACAGGGTAACTTTATACATCAAGTTTAAGTTACGAGCTGAGGAATACGAAACGCGATAGGCGTATAACGTTACGAATATTGATTTACCCGTTTATGGTGTAGTCACTGATGTTATTATTTCGAACCGGTAATGTGTTCGGAGGATGGTGGGGCAAGATTTACGAGATGTGGTGTTTTGAGCTCTATTAGAAAAGATCGAAGTATGACAATATATCAAAGGCTCCTTTAGTAGTGGTACAGCTTCATGCGTTACTGCTAAGTCACAAATTATTGCTTATACATAAGTATCTACTAAAATCAGAAAGAAATAGTGAAAATAAACTATTATTGCCCACAACACAAAGTTACGTTCCGTTCCGTTTGAACTTCTACACGTGGAACAGACGTGTACTGTTTATGTTTTCTTATGTTCATTCAAAAGAATAACAATATTTGTGCTGGATTGGTTTGTTTATCGACATGTTACCGGATACGATAACTACTCCACTTCTATCCTTCCTCTATTTGTTTGCTCGTCTTTGTATCTAGAATTTTTATTTTTTCAGTATCTTTGTAAACTTACATGTGATTTGTATTCATTAGTTCTTCAACATTCGTAACTAAACAAGGTTCTTAGTAAGCAACTTGAACAGTAATCACAATAAATATACCAGATTACATCTCCATCCCCCTTGAGAGCAACAAACCCTGCATTCAACCCTCGATGTCTCAAAAGGTTTCCTAAAATGGTTCCGTAACTTGAAAACAAGTTGCAGGAAAAAGGGTTATTCCCTCACTTGGCATTGATGACGTAAAGTCTGAAAGCCATTTTCCCCCGTTTATTTTCGAATATGTTCCGTGGCAAACCGTACAAGCGGAAAAGGAAGCCGCAATAAAAAAGACGGAATTTCTGAATACTTCAACCTACGCGAAGTTCGTTCGGTTACACTGTTTTTTCAGGGAATCTGTGTGCAAAGTTTTTATGTAGCCTTTAATTTTGTGAATGGTTTCGTATTACTTGCTCGTTTACCAAAGCTTCCACAACAAGAGTTTCAAGTTTTTCGCTTCATCTTTATAGAATTTTGTAAAGTAATTTATTTTGTTCAGTATACAGACCATATTATAATTGTTGGAATTGGATTGTAGGTTCTTTTTCCCAACTCGTTGAAGAAATTCGTTCATTGTTTTAAATATTATGATTCCCATGAAAATGTCAGAAACATCAAAAGACAGGTTCTCTACACATGTCTTCTAAACTTTAATCGCGAGCTGTTAATCGCAGCTCCCCTTGAAAGTTAAAATGGACGGAAACCCGGATAAATGCGTACTTAGGTACTACATGCGTTGTATCTGTAAGTCCTTTTATATGTCAAGCTTCAGAGTTAGACAGTTCCATGTGATTGATGTCCTTCCGATCATTATCATTAACCTCTTTGGGTTGGGGTCCGTTTTCATTCCTCCGAGGAACGATGGCTCCAGAACTTTCCAAAGTCACAAAAAAGTGTAGATGGAAATTCGGAATACTTTAAACTTTTTAAAGATTTATTACGTCATGCTGTTCTTTGTGAAAAAATTAGGTTTATATTTATGTGAGAATTTTTTTCTGCAAACGAAATTATCTTGCTAAATTACGTTGGAGTTGCTATGAAATACTGATTTGTATGTAATGTAGTATTTGCAATATAAGGAGACAAACTAAACAGCATTACTATAACAAACTTCAATGTGGAATATCTGCGGAACGCGGCATTTCATCTATTTTGGTAACACAGGCATGTTTCATCTTCAGCTCATATTAAGTTGTTCTTATGAGCTTGTAGCAGGAATCCATGAATGTAGCAACTTACATCTCGACATCCGTGTTTTTGACATTAATATTTGTTGCACGGAATGCCTTCGAAGAGTTTTACTCACATTTTTTGTTGAAGAAGACCACTTAGATGGAGTTTCTCCTGTGAAATATACTACCTATCATTCCACCAGACAAGTTATTGGTCTATTTAGGAATTTAACAAGAAATACTCTACGCATCAGTCCAGCCCCCGCACGAACCGTGTTGTATTAATTTCAAAATTGACGTCATACACAGGCATTTAGTTCCATCTGATTAGCTTATCCCTTTTCTTGACGGAGTGCACTGTGAGATACAGTCGACTTTGAAAAATCTCTCTACGAAAAATATTATTACATGAAACGGAACGTTATTACTGTTAAAAAAGCAACTATTTCTAAACGTTTTTACGTCATGTCATGTCAGTTTGACATAACCGTTTTTCATTCATATTCAAAATAATGAACCGACTCAAAGCGATCCCGCCGAAAAAGGTAAGAAAATCAATATTTTATATTGTTTTTAGGCAATAATGTGTTAATTGTGCATGTCACGGTAAAGGATATTAGTTTATACGTGCCAATTGAGTGAATTTTGATGCGAAACTGTATATTTGGTTTAGTAAACTGGCGCTAAACTATTATGTATCTCGTAGTGCACACTGCCATGTTTACTGGTTTTTTACATTTTGGTGTATTGTATCGTGTAGTGCACACTGCCACGTTTGTGATGTTTTATGTTTATTGTTTTGCATTAATTACTTTGATGATGGCATAGTGGTAATGGTATTAAAATATTACAAAAAAGGTATTGGGTTCGATTCCCGGTCGGAATAAAATTATTTTTTATATATATTTTTTTTATAACAGCATGGCATGGTTTGTAGTTGTACATATACGTGCTTTTGGTTTTGGCAGGTATACTCGATGCTCCCTTCTTTGAAATCTGATTGTTGGTTTTTGGTTTTATAGCATGTGTGCTCGTTTTGATTTTTGCTTTGCATGATGGGTTAAATAAGCTTGTTTTTCTTAGGGCGGAGTGCAGCCATCCTTCACGCGAGGTAGAAAGCTTTGTGCTCTTATCCCAAAATCGGGCAGAAAATCATCGGACGATTCATCTACGGAGTCTGAAAATGAAACCCGGCAGATTCCAGTTCGACATAGGGTAGACGAAGAATCATCACCAGTGCCTTCACTGCCATCATCGATGGAAAATCTTAACCTACTATCTGATGATGAAATAGTAGATGTCCAAGAAGCGGTTACTGCATCACCTTTGCTAGCGTCTCCACTCACTCCAACAACTACGCAAAATTTGACTCCAACGTTAGTGACTCTACAGCAGGCTCTCTCTCCGACAGCACCACAGTCTCCAGCGACTCCAGCATCTATACGTTCCAGAGCAATCAGACCAAGATTGGTTATAGTACGTCGACCTCAGCTGTCGCGAGTAAGAGTGCAACCTCTCAATTTTCGATGGACTAGACAACAATTCCGTCATCGAGCAGAAATAGCCGATAATGGTTTTCAAGAAAAAGTATGTCGAACGTTAGATATATGTGTTATAAATAGTTGGATATTGTACCGGAGAAATATCGGCAGTGAAAAAACAATGAGTTTGAAGAAATTCAGGTACAACATTGCCAAAAATTTATTATCTATTATTTCACAGAACCACCACGAAACATAAGGACAATGTAGAGGGTCCAACTCCATCAAAAATAATAAGGGCGCCGGTTGCTCCAAGACCATCGACAGATATTCGCAGTGATCAACTTGGTCATTTTGCGACTTTTGGTACAAAAGGCAAATGCAAAGTATGTACCAAAGGTCAAACCACTGTGTCCTGTACTAAGTGTGGAGTCAGATTATGCTTAGTACCTGGCAGAAATTGTTTTTATATGTTTCACCACTTGTAATTTCTTATTAAACATAAATATGTGATTTTATTAATTAAAAATAATTATTTTATATATTATTTGTATTATTACGTCTTTTTGGCAGTGTGCCTCGGGGGATGCATTCGCCTGAGATAGTCATTCTTTAAAAACATGGCAATGTATCTCATGGGATACAGTATATATTTCTGAATGTGAAATGCTATGATTTTTTTTTATTATTTTTCCGTGCATTCTGTGGTCATATAAAACAAGATTATTTGAAAAAAAAAACAGTAATTGAATTTTTTTTTTGCCAAGTTAAGGGTTAAGTAGTATTTAAGTTTTTCACATTGTTACATAGTAGCATGTGAGTAAACATTGATCTCAGAGCATTAGAACTGAATATTGTGATAAATAATAATATATAGTTTAGCTTTGTTAAAAAAAATGTCTACCTATGTCATAATATTGTAACCGTAGCAAACCTAGTTTCAAATTGATCTCAAAACTTGTTGATATTTTTCAATTTCAATATTATTTTTATGTTATTGTTTCTTTTTTAGTTTTTGTGATTACATGGCAGTGTGCATGTAAAGACACATATTTTTTTGTAGGTTTTTTCTTATGAGCTTGGCACTGTGCACTGGAAGACACATAATATATCCTGAAAACTGAAATTCACGGATTTTTTATTTTAATTTTCCTGATATCCTTATAATCCAATTAACACAGGGAAGTAGTAAAAGTTTAATTTTTTAAAGGTTAAATTCTCTGCCAAGTATAGGGTTATACTGATGTCAACCTGATCATACAAAGGTCAAGTTTCTTTATAGTCTACTATCTGTTCTCTTATCTGTTTTTAAACTCCTGTTTTATTTGTTACAGTCAAAAGCGCTAGGCAGAGTGCTTTTCGACCAGGTATGTCGGCAGCTACACCTGCTAGAGGCCGACTACTTCGGCTTGGAGTACCTGGACGCCAACGGTACGAAGGTATGGGTACGTTATCATCTTTTTTACTATTTTCTGTTACATTTTTTTTATTTATCCATTTAGAAATACTTTTGTTTGAATACTGTGGTTGATTTTGTGGTCTCTACGACTGTTGACCTTGGAATTCTTAGTTGTTTTCGGATCAAATGAAATATTGAAAGGTTTCGAAGATTTGTAAACAACTGCTAGCTGGGACATAAGCCTAGCGCATGATTCATTAAACCATCGGATATGGATACTTCTATATAAATTCTAAGTTCGATCACTGTTACAGTATGTTTCTGAAGCACCAACTACTGAAGCCAATTGATCTCGTCAACCAAACGGAATAACAAAACAAAAAACAAACAGCAGCTGCAACAGACTAAATTGATTGATTGAACACCAAGTTCCTGTATCCATTACGTACATATTCATACAATATTTCCTTAGATGTCACATAAATATCATCTTGAAAGTGACACCGCTTATTTTCAATTGAACTTCCAACCGCTAGAGATTAGACTTGACATTGAGTGACATAGCACACTCAAGTTTGAACTCTCCTACACTCGAATTACATGTTTAAGTCATGTAGCAAAATAACATTTTGGAGGACTCTTTGAGTTAGAGTAATGCAAGGCAACCGGTAATTGCGAGGATTTATGGAGCGAATGGGAGTGCATGCGTCGTTTGTCCCCGGGGACTAACTTTAATATGGTTTTAAAGGGTCGTAAGCCTCATAGCTCGTAGGACTTTAATAAAAAATTATGTGTGAAGTAAAATGCGTAAAAATATCATCATGCTTGTATAGAGCTAAGGATCTTTGGGTAATGTAATGATTCTTTTTACAAAAATACGCAATTTGAACTTAATTGGCATCACAAAAACAGAGAATGTACTCATTTGCAATAGCAATAGGTTATTTTGCAATAAAGTCGAGATTCCTTCGTAGTCTTAACATTACCTACATTGATCTAGTTAGTTTACTATATGAACGTTCCAGTTACGCTGTGCACTGAACCGTTAGTACTCTGGAAACCCTACTCGTATGACAATTGAGTGCAGCGTTAATTGGATCGCGCAAATTGTAATGCCTCTGTTGCAAACGCATGGATATGGATGCGATTTGTACAGATTTCTGGAGTTTACTGCTGTCACACCTACAATAATAACGGTAGAAGTGTGTGTAAGTCACTCTTAATCTAAGGGCTGCTGTGATTTCTGAAATGCTTAACATTTCGGTGATTATAATAATGAAGATGTCCGTCTCCGCAATCCCCGAATTTACCCGACGTGTTCCGAAGGGATGATTAGAGAATACTTATTTACATAGAATTACAAAGAATAAAAGTTCAGGATATGCTAATACAAAGCCAAATATAGGTTTCTACCAACAGTATATCTTTACATAGGTTTTGCGAATTCGATGCGCATAAAAGCAGAAAAATAAGGATATTGACTCAGTAAATTTAAGGTTTAGTCGCCTACGCACCCTGGAACTGCTTGTGGCAAATGGATCCAGTCCTAAATCTTTGCACAATTTATTAAAATCTGCTCACTCGCACGATATACAGTAAAGTAGTATGTAATATTATAGTAAAGTAAACCCCATATTCGCAAGTAACTTATTGTTAGAGCGCTAGATAATTTGCTATTCTTCTCGCATAATTACAAGCTACTAAGTTTCGTGTTTCCATAAATCTAGCGAGCATTAACTCGTCGAGTACCGGTTTTATAGACACAATTAAAGAACAATAGGTCGTGGTCACCGGTGACCGCTTGGTGTTTGACAGATTAAAAGTAATGATATTAAACTGTCAAACACCAAGCGGTCACCGGTGACCGCGACCTATTGTTCTTTAATTGTGTCTATAAAACCGGTACTCGACGAGTTAAATTAAAAATGTAACTAAGTACAAATTAAACGTAGATTTTAAACAAACCATTCTACTTATCAACATAAGATAGTTCCTGTTGCATAATGGAATGATTATACTACACAAGCACTGAATATAACTGAGTTGCGTGAATAATACAAATAATGAAAAGTACACAATGTAAGAGACTGAGCTGGCGTCCACAGTAGTTTTGCGACAACAATGCATTGTAAATAATATTCATATACAAAATGTATTGTTCTGAAACAGTGTAAATACTAATAGCTACAATTTCAAAATGTGTTACTAAGGTCACTACCTACTAATGATTTATATGATCGACGTGTTAAGTTTCTTCGTACCTGGCTATGTCCTAGGCCTGCGATCAGCCAGATCAGATTTTGGGGCTCCGGAGTCGGTCTCTTAAGAGGACCCGGTGCCCCTTACAGATGCTGAGGGTGGCCACCGGGGTGGTTTTAGTGAGGTACGAATCCCACACTCCCTAGTCTTTGTCTCCAAAAAGCTAAACGCCTTTTAAAGGTTTCCCCCGACATCAAAAAAAGGCCTGCAATTAGTTGGGAAGGCGGCATTCTTTAAATTTTAGGTGATCCAACTGCGGTCAAGCATGGGGATTATGGCAAACTCACTGATAAAAGGAACGCCCAGTGGACGTGTACCGACTGATGAGATTAAGAGCGCCATCTTCATATAAGTATCCGATAATTATGTGGCACATACAACAATAACTTAAGTGGCAAACAGGCCCTAAGTTTCTTATTTATTTTGCACAATGTTATTAGAAGTTAGAAGTATTTACAATTCTAAGTCCACACTACTACAACTAGTTCATGATCCTGTTCGGGCGTAGCAATTTGTTTCCTATATTTTATTTTAATGTCCGTCTGGTACATTAATTTAAAACTTTAGACATGTATTTTTTCTTTTCTCACAAAATTAAATACTTTCGACGATATATACATTTGAAATATTATGTGACGTCACAGCGTGGCACATTTTGTAGCACGTTATGACGTAACGACCTCCCACTCTCTAAACTCTAAACTTAGCGCCATTTTATCTAAGTATTGCAACTTAATACGGGAAAATAAAATATGTGTCTAATATTTTTTCATTATGTAACCGACGGACTAATTAGAATTTTAATTTTGATACCCTGGACACTACCCAATTATAATTATTAATCACCTTATCTATTAATATAAATTATTAACTTATAATAAATGTACTTATACACATTGATTAATAAATACTCTGAGCATGTTCGTAATATTTTTCTTGTAATGGAGTAATGCTGTATGAGGATAATTAAGCGTTTGTATCAGACAATATTGTTATTAAGCTAATGTGGTTTATTACATAACCACATGGTTTGTTCGCGGTCAATATTGTGGATTCCATACATGAGTATGTATTTGTACATCAACTGTTTTGGTTACCACAATGTTTCCTACCTGCCGCCCTAGGGACTGCATCGCTGCATGCTCATAACTAGTTTCCTAGTACATAACTCTATAATATTAATATGTTTGTATAATGTAGATATGTTTTGTGAGACTGCGGTATATTATGAAATGTAGCCAAGAAACTTTCACCATCTGTAAGGATACATAGGCAAAGGCGTGCGGTCTGTGTATAGTATATGTGAATGTATATTTATGTTAGCCATTTTTTTACAAACTTTTATTATATTATTGAATCTTAATAAACGCGTTTGTACATTTTATGTATGTTATTTATTCACGATATTTGTAAGGTAGGCAAAGCCTTTTTGCCTATATGGACTGCACTGCAATCCCTATAATAGGGATCAAACCTTTAGTTTGTCTTAAATTCTGTGCTCGCTTTAGGAATTAAAGAGTAGATAAAAGTAAAGAGTTTAATAATCAGTAAAGCAGTGCTATGCACTTGTCTCAATGCAAATTAAACCCTAGCTCCTTTGCAATCAACGCAGAATTCCTTGCTCAACAGTGGTGCTTCTAACCCGCAATAATTCTGTATTTCGTTTGTAATTAATTTTACGCTTATCCTTCCACAGTACTGGCTGGACGTAGAAAAGCCGATGTGTCGTCAAGTAGGCCTGTCAATGCTGGAGCCGACGTTACGTTTCTGCGTGAAGTTCTACACATCAGACCCTGCTCGGTTGGAGGAGGAGTTCACACGGTACCTGTTCTGTCTGCAAGTGAAGAAGGACCTGGCCACAGGGTGTATACAGTGCAATGAGAACACTGCTGCGCTCATGGCCAGTTACATTGTTCAAGGTAAAAAATTACGTTTTTTTTTTCGCGTCAGTTTTATAGTGGCTATGACTTTTATAGTGGTATTTAGTTTGTTATCTAGGTTTTTTTATCAAGCTGTATTGTAACGTTATTTGAATAAAGAAATTTCTAGGTTGTTGTACTAAAAGTATGATTAATATTTGTTTATTATCGAGGTGTAATCCTAAGACTTATAAATTGCAATAATTAGCGGGAATTACTTCAACTGTTTCTTTCCATGAATTTCATCAGATAGCCATAATGATTCTTAACATTCATAATAAGAATTCTTAAAATCATTTGTTCAATGATCCAGCGGTTCTTAAGAAACGCTAGAGACTATAACATTATAAAAATGAAATTAAACTTTATGAATATACATGATTTTACCAAATTATCATCTTCTCTAAAATATGATGTGTTCGTACAAAATTCATGTGTAAACACACAACACAATATGGTGGCCTTAAAACTTGTATTGAGCTTACAAAGTTTGCCAGCCAGGCGCAGCTTCAATTACGTTGTTTGACCTAAATCATCAACAATTCCATATTAATAACGAAGCAGCCTGCTAGTACATTAACGTCTAGTTAATATTCGTCACAAAGTACTGGTACACTGGTTCACGTACGTACCTAGTATACCTAGATAGACCTAGATAGCGAAATTAGAGTTTTGATGTGGACCTTGGTAGTTGAAAAAGAGACCCTGATATGATTTTATTATGAGTATAAAGTAGATATAAATTTGTAATTATATCGTATAAGTATACCTTCGACCTTAATCAATTTATAAACGAAAAATAAGCTTAGTAAGCTTTGTCTAAATTTTCAAAATAAGTAGCACACTATAACACCATGCTAAATTGAACTAGTTTTTTTTCAAAGATTTTCCAGAGTACTACAAAATAAGTAGTTGAAAATCTATTTAGCGATGTAATGAAAAGTCTGTTCCAGACTGCTACCTATTACTAAGTAACTTTTCACAAAGATCTTCATTAACTAGCTGTCGAAGCTGTTACAAATACAGTATTAGTTTATTGATTGATTATTCCTACGATATGTTTTAATACAGATATATAATGTTATCTTTATGTCCACAGCGGAATGTGGCGACTTCGTGCCAGAGGACTATCCGGACCACACCTACCTCAGTGGGTACAAGTTCTTCCCTGGGCAGGACTCGGAATCCGAGAGGCGGATCATGGAAAACCATAAAAAGCACATGTAAGTGGAAACTAAAGGATATTGTTTTTTTTAAGACTTTGACTGCCAATAAAAAACTGTTGAAGGTAAATCCTCCGCTAACGCCGGTCACCGGTAACCCCCATGGCGTTTAACGTGTTAAGGGGGGAAAATCATCGAATGACTGCTCCCGCCTGGGTGAGGCGGGAGGGAGTGTCAGACTCTTACTGACTAAAAACCACCCCGTTCCTTTTCCTGCACGTCGAGCCGGAGCCACGGTAACCCGTTAGGTTCTCCGCATTATTGAATGTCTAGACGTTTATTGCAGTGTAAAGTAAAATAGATTTAACTTAATATATTCTTCTTATTCAAGTTATTTCCCTATTCTTCCTTTACAAGTTAATTGTAACCTATGTATTAGCTACGTACTACATTAACTTACAGATTTTAAATCAATACTTACTTATAACAAAAGGCACATAGGTAATTATTTTACCTTGACATTCAAATAATGCCGAAGAACTTTCCAGACGTTTTTCTGTTCAACCGAAACTAGTTGGCTATTCTCTCAATACGTTGATTCTCAACTTTGTAGCTAGCAACAATAGTGGTAAACAAAAACAAAAGTCGGTAGTTACGGAAACAGGCCTCCTTGTCACGTTCAGTACCGATAATTATTATTGGTAAAATAAATGCATGGAGGTTTCTTAAGGTCATCGGTATTCTTCCTCACCCGGCGAAACACAACGCAACCGTTGTGTTTCGCCGGGTGAGGAAGTTTTTCCTCTCTTCTCAATTTCCCCTTTCGCAATCCTCAAATCCCTAACCGCCAAATGGTCATTAACGCAGTTGTAACTCTTCTGGTGTTGCGGGTGTCCATGGGCGGCGTCGATTGCTTACCATCAGGAGATCCGTTTCTCGTCTTACGGCGTATACCTTAAAAAAATATATAAAATTGACACCCGTTTCCCGTTGTCACGCCATAACTTGAGAACGGCTAAACCGATTTGGCTGATCTTATTTTTGTTGTGTTTGTTATTGTCAGGAGAAGGTTCTTACGACAGAAAAAAACCTGAAAATCCTACGGGAACGGGAGAAAACGGGACTGCGCGTACGAAGTCGCGGGCAGAAGCTAGTATCATAAAAAAATCACCAAATGAATTCTCACGAAGTTTCGTTTTTAAATCGATAACGTTAATCGCAACTGAACTTGTGTAGGGGGCAGTCTCTAGACTAATTCCGATAATTGTGCCAATTAGAGTAGACGTAGTGATTGTTTTGTTTTTGTTTTCCAGAGGCCAGAGTCCCGCTGAAGCCGACCTAAACTTGTTAGAAACGGCGCGGAGATGCGAACTTTATGGTGAGTGATAAGTTTGCTTTGTTATTATTATTCCTAAGGTTTTTTTGTTTGGATTATTGGTTCTGGATGTTTTATAGTGATGTTTATCGTATAGAATATGTAATACTACATTCGTCATATTCGTGGTTATCATAAGAGTCGAGAGAAACATTTACACAGGTTAAACTACAGAGCTTTCAGAATTCTCTGATTAACCTGTACCAAGCCTTCTTGCGTCCTTCCGTCAAGCTTGGAGAATATGGCAAACTATCTTATGTAGCCTTAAGCCAGAAGTGGACTAAAACGTGTCGTTGATCGTAATGTGTTATTATTGGTCAGCAAAATCTACCAAAATACATGTCAGTGTATTCAAATAAAATACTATTGTTCCAGGTATAAAAATGCATCCAGCAAAGGATCACGAAGGCGTTCCCTTGAACCTCGCAGTAGCACACTTGGGTATAATAGTGTTTCAGAACTACACCAAGATCAACACGTTCAGCTGGGCCAAGATTAGGAAGATATCGTTTAAAAGGAAAAAGTTCCTTATCAAACTGCATCCTGAGGGATATGTTAGTGTGAGTATTGTTGATGGATTTATTATTTTTTGACCAGAATCGTTAAATTGCCAGGTGGTCAGCAAACCTAATATAGATTAGGAGTCAGTGGAGCTTCCAACCGACCGAACTGAAAGTTACTGGGGGACCTTATAATATGGTGTCACTTTACATGATCATTCCGCACATTCGACGGTCCTTTTATACTGGTTTTGCGTAGCTTGATGTATGTACCAGTAACAAGCCTGCCTTTAAATCGTTAACTAGGCACGAGCAATGTAGGTCGATCCAAAAGTGGAAGTCTGATGTGTGGAGTCTTTTGACTAATAATAATGATTCTTTACATTGCCAATTAAAATATTAAAGGGGTAACTAGCCATCACTAAATGTTCCTTGTCCAGGTCCTGCCTATGTAAAATATAAAATAGTAATTATATCTTAATTTCACAACAGGGTTACTACCGCGACGTAGTAGAATTCTTCTTCGACGGTCGTAACGAATGTAAGAACTTTTGGAAGAAGTGCGTGGAGAACCATGGGTTCTTCCGCTGTTCCAGTGTGCAGCGACAGCCCCGGCAGAAGACCAGGGTCATCTCCAGAGGATCATCGTTTAGGTGAGTTGTTGAAGAAGTTATAAAGAAGATAAGAACTGAGGTGTGGTGTGTGAAATGTGTTAAACTGCTTACGTGTCTCTATTGGGGTAAATAAATAATAATAATAATCTTTTTCTGCTATTAAAACAGGTATAGCGGTAAAACCCAAAAACAAATCGTCGAGTACGTGAGAGACAACTACGTGAAACGGCAAACATTCCAAAGGTAAGACTATAATAATCATATAATACTGTTATACATAAGCTTAGCTATTATGCCAATATGTACTCTATATACTCTATGTAGAATAAATTTGACATGAGGTAAAATTGACATGAAAGCTGAACAGTCAATTCTGGCTCGTGTAAATATTGCATGTATAACAAAATAAATAAGCTTAAGCCGCTATAGTTGATATAAATAGCTTTCTTACTGTAACTTGTCTTTAATGCAGCTAGGCGTAGCTAGACAACGCTTATAGATGTACTATAGTGTGGTACAATACCCAACGAACCAGCGTAGGTAGGTCGTAAGTTAATACTAAGTGTACCCAAGGTGAGTGGTTAGCATGGGCTGGGAGACACTAGCTTTTGGTTTTGTCTTGTGGGCGTTTGTGTGACAAGAGAAGCGAGTCGTAACGAACAGATGCATGATGTAACAAGTCCCTCGAACAATCGAATTGGTTAGCGCGAGGCTTCGATAGTTTTGTATGAATCGATGGTGATTAGCATATACTCGAGCATGCGCTGTATCCGTTGAAATTTCCGCTTCTTCCAAATAAACGAGTACGGTGTAGTGGCGAGTGCGTTGCGTTGCGACGGCACTGACAATCGGTCGGAGGATGGTGTTGTCGTATTCGTATCTCGTAGGGTCTGTCTATGATGGGTCTGCGCTCTCATTACATTCACGTCGCGGTCTTACTTCTAAAGTTGCCGGTACTAGTTATAAGAGAAACACTAGAACTTAGTTGGTCACGCTTGCTTGACGCACGAGGACCGCAGGCCTGTCGCGGCGCGACGCGTATCGTAAGGGCACAGATTACATACTGTACGGGTGCTTGACTTCCTATATTTTGAGTTCTGGCGCATACATTTACACACTACAACATGCGTTTACTAGCCTTTAAGGGTCAAAAACTGTGTATCATTTATGGCACAATATCTGTAGAATTTCTTTGTTCCATTGAGAGAAAGGTGCGAGTAAAATTGACAGCTGTTGGTTTTTATAAGTATTCTCGGTTTTAATAATGATGAAAATAGCTTTTCTCTTTATCGCACACAGTGACAGAGGCACTTCTACCTTATTTAAGGATACATGGTAGCCAAAAATGGAAACCCGCTAGAAAAAGAATACAGGAAGTCAAGTATTACGTACGTAGGAAATGTCTGTGCGCTTTTCTCAGTCGCGTCAGGAAATCAATCTGCCCCGCTAGACAAATGGCATAAATGTTAGTCAATTAAAATACAATAGAAAGGTCAATGTATAGGACTGACATAAGCTTACGAGAAACTCAATGTCAATGTTATACATTGCTCAAGGCATGGGTTTTACATAAGCCAATTATTGACGTAAGCTGTCAAGGTCAATCTTACAACAAACTTGTTGTATGTCAATGTCAAGCCCGCACATTGACTTTTCTATTTTATTTTTTCCGACAGCAGTTATGGTATTATCTAGCGGGGCTATACGTATAGAGCGGACAAATCGGGCGTTAGATCAGAAGTAGGGGGGATGAAGGAGTGCACAGATATTTCCGGGTAGTATGTGCTCGGTGCGGGGCCACACACAAACCAAAAGCTGGTGCCAGCGGTCACCATCCTCTGCCCGACTGTCGCAGGTCGGGCTCGTTCCGCGCGTCGCGCTCCGTGGGCGGCTCGCGCGGCAACGTGGCGCCGCCGCCCGCGCCGCTCAACCAGAGCCTCTCCGCGCACCCGCTGCTGCCGCTGCCGCCCGGCTCCGACGGTACGTACACTCCGCCTCACCCCGCCAACTTATTAGCCCTTGACTAAATTTGCACCAATTTACTCCTTACAATGTTCAATTTTTTAATTAAATGTTGACTGTTTCCAATTGACGTCCCGCTCGTTAGTTCGTCACGTGGTCCCGCCACTCAGTCGAGCAGTGTGAGTAAGCGTGGTGATGTTTGCAGCGATTTCCCTGGAGTGGGACAAGCAACCTCACTACCTGGAGGCTTCTCTGATGATGAAGGGCTACAGTGCGGAGGAAGCGCGCGCGGCGGCTCAGCGGGCGCGCCGGCCCGCGGCAGGGACTCGCCCGCCGCTCGCAGCTACCGCGTATGTCACCACGAGGGACAAGGTACATACACACACTGACTACTTATATGCTGTCTTAGAACTAGTGAATAGTACTCTCAATTTGTGTAAGTGCATCGTTAGTAAACAAACAAATGTGACTCTAAACTTAGAGTAGTTTTTTGCCATAACATGGATTGTCTCTACTATTATAACGTTTTTCTAGATGACTAAATAACCGATACAAGACTAAAGAATGGCGGACGAAATCTATAAAATATTTGTGCACCGCTTTCAATTACTGTCTGTCACTGACTAAAGTCCATTTGTCGGTAGAAAAAGAAAGAAATGTACTTACTAGTTTAGCACAATATTTTTAGAAGTAGCTTACAAATATTGACAACATGGTATAACAATAAGGTCTTTTCTGGGGACTATTATCAAAGTTGTACGAGTGGGCTGTTTGATCACAAGATATCTATATTACAAAATGTCCTCCCGCAATTTCTATTAGAATAAGACCCTATTATTGCACCATGTAAATACATATCCATTAGTGCGCAGCCAAAATGAATATCTGAAGCTTTGTTCGAACTTCACATAGATTTGTATTTGTTTCTTTCAGCTTTCAAAACTGTACTGCAATCAAATCGTAAGGGCCCAATACAAATTGGCTTGTATTATACTCGTATTACAATGTTTCTAAACTTGCTGGATCATATCTAACTGTTCTTCGTTATTATATCAATGTCTGGTTTGGTTACATATAAGTGGTCTTATTCATTAGCTGTGAAAGTCTGAAATGCCTATCTCGCCCCTTCCTTGCTACTATAGTAAAATTCTATGAAAGAATAATACAGGTGTAAAAAATAATTGTGTTCATATATTAAATATGTATGAAGTTATTAATTATTTGATTTGAAATGTGCATAGAGTTATTACGTAACCAAACTAGACGAAGGCATGGTTCAGAAATCATGGATTTTTTCTTTATTCATATTCCACTGGTAATATTGTATGCAAGTCATAATTTATTATGTACATATATTCTTAACTTTCAGTGTTATAATTTTACTAGCCATAGCGGACTGAGTTAGCACACTATAATTTTATCATATTAGCGACAAATATTATGTTTGCGTAAAGTAATACAAAGTTTCTACAGCTGACTCCATGCTGCTATGCGCTAATATTAACTTTAACATCGAAATGGTCTCAATTTTAACATTTTTTGCACCATTTCTTATTGTTGTGGGTGAAGGGAATTGACTGCAATCAATTAAAGCACACATCCCACCATCTCGCACATTTTCCGTAACGCACTTACGGCACGGGGTCCATCTGTATGTAACCAGCCAACTTAGATTGCTTGCCACTTGAATAACTGGGTCATATCGTCCCACAGGCTCCCGAGCTAGTGACCCATGCCGAGGTCAATCATCATCCTACGGAGGATTCGCCTCTGCCTCATCGGACGACGACACCATTGGTTAGTGTAGCTTACTATAAATAATTTTGTAACAGTGTGTGTAAGTGTGAATGCAAAATGTAACTCATGTTGTCGTGCATTGGTCAGGTTTCTCCGGAGAGTACATGGAGCCAGGCGAGTTTGGGACGTGCGAGTGGGGTCGGCCGCGCGCCCACTCCGCCGCCGCGTGCGCGCCCAGGTCAGAGCCCCCCCGCCTCGCCCCCCTCCCCGCTCACCGCGCGACTTGCACCGCTCCCCGCCGCCGCGCCCCCCTCTAGCGGTTACCCGGACTTCGTGCTCGCGAAGCATTCCTCGAGCTTTAAGAAGTCATCCGAGCGGCTCGAGTACGAGCTGTCGCAGAGCAACATCTACTCGGCGTGCCCGTCCACGCGCTCGAGCCGCTCGGGCGGGTCGCTGCACGTGGAGGATGAGGACGAGGACGACGCGGCCGGGCGCGCGCGCCTCACGTGGCGGCGCAGCGCGTCGTGCCGCAACCTGCGCGACTACAGCTTCGACTCGGCCGGCCGCGCCAAGCGCCGCCGCGACGCGCGCTCGCTGCTGGCGGACCTGGACGCGCTGGGCCGGCTGGACTCGCCCGTGACGCGCTACGACGAGGCCCGCACGCGCGCCTTCGTGTTCGGCGAGCGTGGCTGTGCGGAGTCGGCAGCCATGTTGTTGGGCCGCGCCTATTCCTCTTCGTTTCCAGGTGCCATCGGTGAGCCGCGCCTCGACATGCCGTTCGCGCGCACGGGGTCGCAAGACGACTTGTCGCATGATAGTTACGAAGTTATCGAGCGCTCCGACGACGAGTCGGAGACGCGCCGCTACGCGCGCATCCAGGCGGTGGGGCGGCGCAGCGTGCTACACACGCGCTCGTGCTCGTTGGACTCAGGTAACGACCTCCCCTCCGACGACGACCGCTCCTTGTCGCATCTCTCCGAGAGCGACGACCACGAGGGAGCACCCGATGAAGTCGTCTGCCACTACCGCAGTAGCAATGACATCCCACTTGATCCGTTCCTTGTGGATGATCCGCGAGTCCTACCTCGAGAAAAGCTCTCAGTACGTTCTGATGGCAATTTCTACAAAGAAATTAAACGAGCACTTGGCTCCGAACGTCTAGCCAAGAGTCGAAGAGTGACATTTATGATTCAAAAATATCTAAAAGTAGCGCCGAATCTAGCAAAAAGTCGCGGGACAGCGTTTACCATACAGACAGTAAGAAATCTAGGGAGACTCTTAAAAGCAAAAGCTCTGATAGGTCAGGATCTCGAACTTCCAGTCAAGACTCGAAGTCAGATTATTACGATTGTAAAAAGAATTTGTATGAACCTGATGAAATTAGTATGAGACGACGTAGTATTACTAGTATACAGAACGCTTACATAGACCCATTCGAACCCATATCTCCGTCATCTAGTCCAGATTCCACAAAAGATTTCTTTGATACTCAAGCGACTTTCATAAGTATGGAAAAGCCAGAGTATCGGGAGAAAACCTTATTCGATAAGTCTCATGAAGACTTAATCGCTAATCTGGCTAATTCTCCTAATTATTATCTATCTACTCCCTATTCCACTTTTCCAAGCAATAGTAAACATGTCAAAGAGCCTAGTCCAATGCATTCTGCTAGCTTACAACATGTAGAATTAGATCAATTTTCTGGTCAGTTCGAATCTGATTCGAGTCCTCCTAAAAAGATAGACGAATTGTCAACCGAGGAAGAAGACATTCACCCTCAAACCACGCATATTTGGCCCGAAAAGATTGTTGGTCTTGATACTGAAATTGATACTAGAGCTGCTAAAATACATAGTTACCAACGCCGTCGTTCTTCTGATACTGTTTTCAGTTTTGATAAAGAAAAAATTGAATCATTAACGAGGTCAATCAGTAAAGAGAACGCTGCATCACATCTCGTGAAAGAGTCCTCGAATGAATCTGATGTAAATGTGAGAGTCTTGCCCGCAATGGACAGCATTGAATATGCTAAAAATAAAGCCAAACAAGCCGCTATCCAGTCAGGCACTGTTTCGATTTTACAGTCGGAATTCGATAAACGTGGTGGCAAAGTCCACACTCACATTGTCAGAAAAGAAAATCTGAAGGAAGAATTAATGGCAAAAACTCACTTTGACGAATATAACCCTAAACTGATTTTAGAGACGAGCTCAAGTAGCCGTCTGGCTGATAATACGGTCCCTTATACCCACCCAACTGTCGAACGAACTAAGAGTGATCCAAATAGTTTGGCGAATAGGCCTCGCTTTAGCAGCGTTAATTCACGTAGACATGTCTTAATGCATCAGAAATCGATTGATTTAACACCAGCGGAGTCCAGTGACGAGGACTACATATTCCGTCAAATACCAAGTGCTCCACCAATCGCAACCAAACGTTCGCACTTTGAACTTCCATCTCGACTGCCCGAACATATACGTCCTCCATTTGACTTGCCTAAAAACTATTTCAAAGAGTTTGATGCATTTAAAGCTGGTTTTAAAGATAACAAGAAAGTGGTCGACGATGGCTATGACATACCATACGTGTTACATAAACGACATGTAATGAATGGCACAGCGCCTTCTCCTCACGAAGATCAGCGACCTCCACCGGATATAGTTATGCTTCCACCTCAAAACGGCCGCCATGTTGTCAGTGCCCACCCTAGGTGTAAGTATCACGACCATCCAAAATCACCACGTTCGCCCAAATCTCCAAAATCGCCCAAATCGCCAAAATCTCCTAAATCGCCAAAATCGCCAAAATCACCGAAATCGCCTAAGTCTCCGAAATCACCACGAAATAGTATACAAGTGGAGCATACGTCCAAGTTTCTGGAAGTTGAAAATCGTGACTTCTTGTTCACACAAAATATTGATCTGTCTAAAGTAGACCCAGTGACATTAGAAGTAGACAAAAGTGGCCAATTACAACATTTGCCAAGTCCTAAGAGGGATATTACCAAAAACTTGGATCCTGTTCTGCTCGAGACACTTAATTCTAAGCTCAGTCAGATAGAGAGTGATTCAGCAACAAGCTCTAAGACTGACAGCATTAGACAGGAGCCTATGTATCCTTGTGACATAAAGTTCACGATCAACGGGCGCAATGTCTCGCAACCACCAATTTGTAAGGACCCGAAGCCTTTGACAGCAGCTGAAAAATTACGGGCAGATATTAAATCGAAATCGGAAAAACTTCCACCGAAACGTGGTCAAAAAGCCAGAGGCACCGGGAAGAAAGGAACTGGAAGTAAAATAAAAGGAAAAAGTAATAATAAGATCCGAATAACTTCATTTTCATCTGATGATGAAAGTGTTGATTCTGATGATGTTTTCGGTACGACTGAAGCGGCTCCCAAACTAGAGTTTTCACCACCACAATCTCGTAAAGACTTAGAACCTATTCTGCAATTGGAATATGATAAAATCACTTCTGGAGCTTGGCACAGAGGTCAGACTATGAGCTCAACGGAAATTGAAGGCTCACCGCCTCAATGCAGGAAGTTGGCGGAGTTGGAAGCGAAATACAACCCTCAAGTTCTTGACAATATAAGCGGTAACGCTACAGAATTACGTAGAATTTCAGAACGTTCTATTTCAATTCCCAGTTCTGAAGACGACGTTGCTATAAAATTTACAGAAGTGAAACAGTCGAGTAAAGAGAGTTCACCGTGGGAGTACAACGAAAACATTCCCTCACCGATATTAGAAAGTACTGAATTTCTCAAATCTGATGATGAACACCTAGCTGATATGGAAATTCAGAAAGTGACAGGAATTCAGTCTGATGATAAACCTGATGTTAAAGATGATAAAAAAGATTCTAATAAATTAGATGTAAAGAAAAGTCTAAGAGATGAATTGATATCACCAATGTTACGTAAACCTGGTGGTACTCCAATATTGTTTGCTCATGCTCGATTAAATCTGTCTGAAGGTTCAGTATTTTCTCTTCAGCGTCAAAAAGCGACGCAAGACTCACCAACAGCGAGTCGCAGAGCTAAAAGTTTGGACACACCAGTTATTCAATTACATAGACTACCGCCAATGAATGCGTTCTCATCAAAAGACGATACGGTTGAAGATATTAACGAAGAAGGTGAAATACTGGAAGAGAAACCTTTGATCGACGATAAAGGGAAACCTATAGCTATAAAGAAAGACACTATTGACAAAATCGAAGAGGTTGAGGAAGAGCAACATGCGGAACATGAGGAACTGAAGTCTGTTGTTATAGATAATGAAGAATTGCAGTTGTTGGAAGACTTGGTTGAACAACGACGCCCACGTTCGTTTAAACGCAGATATGATTTGTCAAAAATAAAATCGCAAGCTGCACGCTCTCCAATCAGCAGATCGCCACTATCGCGTTCACCGATTTCGAAGTCACCATCACGATCACCCACCTCTTCTTTAAATTCACCTAGAGGCAGTATCAGGAAGTTATCAGACTTGAGTGAAGATCAAATAGTGCCAGATATTGAGAGAATCAAACGTAAGGAGAAAAAGAAGTTAACATTGAAGCCGAAACCTGATGAGAAACAGAAGATAAGTAATAAACTCAACAAAGGAGGTTCTCTAGACACGAATGCTACTAAAGTCAAAGCGCTTCAAACTCAAAAGTCGCTGCCATCTTCTCTAAAGGAGCGACCAGATTTCTTAACTGTGCCTCCACTTGATATGGCCCGGGCTAAGAGCCAGGAATTAGAACAAACAGCTAAGAAAATAGCTAAAGAAAAATCCAAGTCGTTAGAGAAGATGGATATTAAACGTGGCAATAGCAAGGAAAGAACCAAGTCTCAAGAAGACAGTGATACAGAAATCGCTAAACGTAAAGAGAAACAGCAGATGTTGTTTGAAGCTGCCTTGAAGCAAACCAAGACTTTAATTAGTCCGGTTAAAGACACCATGCCGCCATTCCCACCGCCAGAAGACAAGATAGTTGTCAAAACTGAAGGCGACAAAATAATCATTGAGACTAAGATCAACAGCAAGGCCGAAGATCATGTATTTATAGCTAAATCTCCTAAGAAGTTAGATAACAAACTTACTGGGAAAATAAGTCGTAGCTTCGAAGATCAGAAAACTGCTAAAACTCCAAGCAAATTGAATAAGAGCATGGATGATAAATCTAGTCCATCATTGGAAGATAAGTTTGACGATCTTGCGGCTTTACAGAAGTCACCAAAGACAC